GGGGGGGGGGGGGGCAACCCCCAAAAAACCAAACCCCACGCTAATACAGGTATCTCAGGGCCAGGCTGAGGGCTTTGTGGCACTGATGCAGCCAGTCCGCGACAGGGGGTAACCAGGGACAGACATTTACCTCCACGGCTATACTGCTGGAATCTATGCTCAGTCTCCAAAGGCTTTGGTGTTACTGCTGTGTAGCAGTGCTTAGGCACTTGGAAAGACCACCCCAGAATACGAGTAAAGAAGCACAAAACAGAAGCAAAGAGCAAGAACTTGGTTTAATTTGAAAAAGAAATTAAAAAACCTCAAATAAAACAGGGATGTAATTTCAAAGAAAACTTCATGCAAGAGCCGCAGCACTTGCATCTGATGTACAGTAAGCTGCAAAAGAATTATTTATAAAGCCCAACAACACAGATTCTTCTATTGCTAAAGTGACAAAGTAAGATAAGCCGTTTGCTTTGACAGCTTTGCTATCGGCCTTTGGCATTCAAACTTTTGATGTCTGGAGTTTTAGGTGAAAAATTTTTAGATTCAATTTTCTTTCCAGGATGTTATCACATGAAAAGAAATAACCACAGTTGAAAAGTTCAGGCCTGTCAATTTTCCATTTGTGAAACCGCTGAACACAATTAGCTTGAACAGCACGTTTACCTGTCAACGTGAGTGCAAGACACTTTCTACAAACTGCAAGACAAGAAAAGCTGAAGAAAGTGGAACCAGCCCCTAATCAAGGCATCACACAGATGTGTGCTCACTGTGTCTCACCTATTCAGAGTCCAGAGGAGGCCACGAAGCTGATCAGAGGGCTGGAGCACCTCTGCTATGGAGACAGGCTGAGAGAATTGGGCTTGTTCAGCCTGGAGAAAAGAAGGCTGCGGGGAGATCTAACTGCAGCTTACCAGTATCTAAAGGGGCCTACAGGAAAGATGGTGAGAGCCTGTTTATCAGGGAGTGTAGTGACAGGACAAGGGGTAATGGGTTTAAGCTGAAGGAGGGTGGATTTAGATGAGATGTTAGAAAGAAATTCTTGACTGTTAGAGTGGTGAGGCCCTGGAACAGGTTGCCCAGAGAGGTTGTGGAGGCCCCATCCCTGGCAGTGTTCAAGGCCAGGTTGGATGGGGCTTTGGGCAACCTGGGCTAGTGGAGGGTGTCCCTGCCCATGGCAGGGGGTTGGAACTAGATGATCTTTAAGGTCCCTTCCAACCCAAACCAATGGATCTTTAAGGTCCATTCCAACGCATTCTATTGCAGGCCAAAAAGACACACTGGTCTCCGCTGCAAACTCAAGTGAAGCAAAGCCCACTGTTATCAATACGTGAGCAGAAACCCTGAACACTGAACCCACAATCTGAAAGTAGAAGGAACCCAGGTAGGTGAATCATGGTGATATGGTCTCTGTAGTAATAAAGATAATAATGTGTGAAGCTTCACCAGAAAAGGGAGTGAGGTTTACAGGGTGTAGAAAGATGTTATTTATCACCATATTCCCATCTACAACCACACCACAGAAGCATAGCTATTAACTGTAGATCCAGCACAGGAACAGAGGACTCATCAACAACCTGCTGGCAGTAAGACAAAATGCTGCAGTCTGTGGTGATCTCCAGCTAATTGGCTTGATTCTGATCACCACCTGGATGGCTTCTCAGAAAGAAAACTCCAGATTTTGCAGAAATTACACTACGGAATGAATGCTTCCCACTGATTTGCAAGAAAGCAATACTTTACTACAGCTTGTTATTCTAGTGCAAGGTGTGGATTCTGTTCACCCAAATTCAACCTGCAAGACTAGGCAGGAAATACAAAAGGCAGTTTCTAGGAAGTGAGTGAAGAATATGTTGTGATGCACTGTTGGCACAACAAACTGCCACAATTTGCCACAGAAGGAGGTAGATACTTCAGTTTGTGGTAAGTGATATCTAGAGATAAGTGATAAAGTATGGAGAGAAGCTGGACAGTCAAACAGATTATAGTGAAGCTGTAAATAATTCACAGTCAGCAAAACTGAAAAACTTTCTTCAAGAGCCAACCACACGCCTTCACCAACCTTAAGGCCTGTTTCAACGTTTGCGAGATGAACTGAACCAAACATTACCTTCCACCCAGTCTTCCGCCTGCTGCGCTCTCCTCTGGGCCATCATCCGGTTTCCCATGTTCCTCCGGCGCCGTGGCATCCCATCTCCCCGCTCTTCAGCGAGGGGTCGAGGCCTGACCACTGCTGCTGCTGCCGCCACATTTTGCTGGTGTTCCTCGTCAGCTGCAAAAGGGAA